TAGCAATACTAGAAAAATAAGAATTAAATTCATTTACAATCAATTGACGATCAGTTAACTTGTCCTTATCTTTAAGAAAATAATTAGGAAATTGGCATTTTCTTCTCTTTCCTAATAAATCATTAATAACTTCCCAAGTTTTAGACATATTATTCCTATTCTTCTGTAATAAATCACAAAAATATTTTTTTCTTACAGACTGTAGGATTGAGTTTAATTTATTTCTAAATTTTTTATATTTACATTCATTACTGTCGTTTCTTTTCTTACAAAATGTTTTATATAATCTATACTTTTTATTAATCTTTTTTAACAGTAAAGGGGTTATCCAAGGTTTTCGTGGCAGTTTTCTTTTCTTCACTTTACGAACAACAAAGTTATGATCATACACAGTTTTAAATATGTTTAAAAATGAATTATAGGCCTCATCTACATCACAAGAAAAAAATACTTCATTCCATTCTAAAACAGATAAATCTCTCTGAAATGAACTTAAACTTAGAGGATCCGTTTTCCTTATGTGGAAAAATGACGATGGTCTATGACAAGGACTAATAGAGAGGTTGGTTATTTGGAAAATAGGTAGATGGTCCGTTATATCACTATAGAAAATACCAGAGTGAATGTCTTTAGTGACTACATTTGTCAAGATATTATCGATCAAAGTGACAGACTTCTTACAAATTCTTGTAGGTTTGTCAATTAATGGGCGAAATGAGTTGTTATACATAATATTTACAAAATCATCAATGCATTGAAGCGAATTATATTTAAGTAGATCAATGTTATAATCTCCCATTATATAAACTGATTTATTTTCTAAAGATATTTTTTCAAGACAAGCATTCATATTCTCATTGAAATCACAAATGGGTTTATTAAGGTCTCTGTAAATTATACCAACAATTATGTTTTTACAATTATCCAATATGATTTCAATAAAAAGATATTCACAGAGAGTTTCAGGTAAATAAATATCATCTCGAACTTTAGCATCAAATAATTCATTAACCAGGAGTGCAACCCCTCCACCTCTCCTACCTCGTCTGTCATTATGATAAAATGTGTAACCATCCCTATTAAATAATAACATTGTGTTATCGTGAATCCAGGTTTCACTAAAACCATATATAGAAAATTTTAAGTTAAGTTGACTAATAAATTGATCAATAGCGTCAAAATTTTTATTCAAACTTCTAGAATTAAAGTGGAGAATGCTAAATTTTTGTTTATAGTTATTAATTAAATCTTGGTTCACATTAAAATCAACAGGTAGCCAGTACTTAATGGGATTATTAGATGTGAAAAATTATCATCTGGATCAATATCATTAAGCGACCCATTTTCATCTGTATCAAGCCTTGTCGAAAACATATCAAAGTTCATATCATTATTAGTAATATCATATTGCACTTCAGAAAACATACATTTAAACTCTATATCATTTACTTGATTGAAAGGAAATACATGCTGAGATATATCCATACAGTTTCAATAGCACAAAATCACACTTCATGCACACATTCACGCACACCAAGATAAGAGATACAAATTACAAAATAGCAGATATAGCAAGTTAACACAAAAATATAATGAAAAAAGAAATACAATTAACTCAAAGTGAGAGGAATAGGTCATTAACCTAGGATGTAATTCAAAATAGAAAAAAAATTAGACTTACATAAAATTTTGGAAAATATTGATGACATGTCTTTTTTTCAAGATATCAAATAGGTAACTTCAAGAAAGACTCGTAATTTAACTTCATGCAGGTAGAATAAAATGTTCTTCATCATTTCATCAGTTTTCATATGTTTTCAATGTCTTTCACGGAAAAAATCCGCTTCATTGTTTTATTGTCCCCAGTTTTGATGGATACAAGTATGCGTCCATCCATTGACCATGCCGACTCTAGCCAAGCAAAGTTATTACAATGATTTGTTCCACATTGTTAAAGGCGATATTAGGAAAACGTCTCATATCAATGAATTGTTAAGTCGGTCAAATAGGCATTCACTTCCTCAAGAGATGGATTTTAATGGAGTACTTCTTTCATCTGCCAAGGATAAGGCTGAAAGTTGTAATAAATATTTCATTGGATTACCCATGAAAATCAGTGCAGACATTCCTCAATAACCACAATCTTTTAAAGATTATATGAAACAGTGTGATGATAATGCATCTATGTTTCTAAAACCAACTTCAAAATCTGAGATCATCGATATTGTGTTGTCTTTGAAACCATCTAAATCTAGTGGTTCTGATGATATTTCACCTAGAATTATAAAGGAGTGCATTCAACTTATTTTGATCTCTGATGTAAAATCATTAATATGTCTTTATCTCAGGGAGTTGTTCCTGATAAACTCATAGTAGCTAAAGTGGTACCAGTGTATAACAAATCTGACCGTAAAAACGTCATTAATTATAGGCCAATAGCACTGTTACCAATCTTTTCTAAAATTCTTGCAAAAATAATTTATAAACGCTTCAATGAGTTTCTATCTAAAAAGGATATAATAATAATAATAATAGCTAGTTCTTATATAGCGCTTTTTAGGACCGAAGGCCCTCTCAAAGCGCTTTACAGATATATATATTATTACCCCGGTCATCGGATTCAGGCTTACCCGCACACAATGTATGCACATTCTCCACTCCCTGGGGAGCATTCCAGCCAGGCGTCATTTTTACAAGCGCACACTTGCTAATCTAAGCACATTAGCTTTCGCATCCTACCGGGTACCCATTTAACACCTGTGTGGAGAGTGGCAAATGAAGATCAATGTCTTGCCAAAGGACATTGTGCCGCGTCGGGACTTGAACCGCGGACCTTGTGATCCACAGTCTGGTGACATATCCACTCGTCCACGACACCTCAACACCTCTATCTTGATTCCGCAGGAGTGTGGTTCTCGTAAGCACTTCTCCACACAAATATTGATGGAGACAAGTATTGTTTGGGGATATTCTTAGATATATCATGGACCTATTACGGAATGGACATTCATCGTTTTCTTAACGAATTCATTGTGATTGTCTCCATCAATGTCGTCTCAATAACATTCCGTACATGTAATTGGTCTCATCATGGTCGCCGGCAAAAAGCCGGGACAGAATCAAGATAGTGATTTTACACATGTTAATCTACTGATGCGCAGAAGATAATTACTCGCCTAAATCATGGAAAATAGATGTGCAGTTCTGGCTTATAATCGGAAATTGTTGTTCCGTGTACTGTACATGTATTTTTTTGGAAAAAATATGTTGATATTACCAGATAGAGGTTATTTTTGGATTTTTTTGGTTGTGATTTAAATTCCCGTTTCCCCCTATTTCCTCATAATATTCCAGAGTTACAACGCACAGGGCTGATACAGATCATGGCCTTCTAACTGTTTTATAAGGTCATAGGTGTGTGCGAAAGTTTGCGAATCAGTAATAATACATTTCATATCACCAAAATCGTCTGCTTTTCAACTTTGCTGCTCCCCGTTGAGGATGCTTTTATTTAAGACACACTCTTACAGAGCACACCATCCAAGCAAAACCCAAGAAAGGGAAACTGCTCCTTTGTCAATGACCGAAAATGCTTACGCAGTCGTTATTGTTAAAACAGCTGAATGTTCTCATTAAGATGCACATAATCAGAAGGCGGCGACTATGATTGGATCAAAGAAAGAACACGTTGAATGTCCATCCGTATTAAGTCCATGATACCATTGACCATGGCATCCTCTTCAGGAAACTTGAGCATTATGGAATACGTGATGTAGCTTTGTCTTGGTTCCAAGCAAAGCTATTTGTTTGACAGGACTCAATTTGTTGTGGTGGATGGTACTAATTCCCAACTTGCTTCTATTAAATATGGTGTACCTTAGGGTTCTGTTCTTGGTTCTCTGTTGTTTCTGATCTATTTACATGATATATACACTCATCAACATTATTCTCATACTCACTTTTTGCTGATGATACCAGCTTGCTGTTGGCTGATAAGAAGACTGAAGATTTATTACTAATTGCGAATCAAGAGATTCAAAAACTGTATGCATGGTATTGTTGTAATAAGTTATCGTTGAATGTTCAAAAGAGCAAATGTGTTATTTTTCGCTCAAAGGGTAAAAAGCAATCTTTACATCATTGTGGAAGGATTCCCTGTATTGTGGGTCATTGATCATTAGCCAATTTAATGAATAAGGAAGGCGCAAGACAAAAACATTAACAGTTGAATGCAAATCGATGGTTTGAATGTAATTAAGAAATATTCAAATCATCACATTTTTAAATGCATTAAGGAACACCATTCTCACACACATGACACCCGCAGGTGCTCACCCGAGCATACAACTTTGCATTTGGGAGCTATGTGTACTTTTAGTGTGCAGAAGAAGAAGATGAACATTTCACGTTTTTGTCCCTTAGCTCAGGTGACCAAATGAAACAATATCTTTGTTATAGCTTCCTCACTAAAGAGAGTTTAAGTTTTAAGACCTGAAACTTTCTACCTATAAGTATTATTCTGATGTCACTGGCAAAGCGATGCAAATGAGAGCTACTGCTTTAACAATATAATATGAAAGGTTGCTTTGAAACATAATGTGAACCTTTCTGCATTGACTTATTACTTCGTTGTGAGCAGAGGAGGTGTATCGGCTTCATATTACTTTAACTGGTAAGTGCCGATATCTATTTTTGAACAATTGATGATAAATATTGCATGATTCAATAGAAGTATTTTTATAAGATATATGTTTATTTTGATATTTTACATGTATGTACAATTAATAATGTTTGTTACTATATTTATGTTTGTATACTGTTATTGTATTATGCAGGGCTTCCTTGAAAAGCAGGTCCGTTGGCCCTTAAGTGGAACTGATTGAAACTACCCTGTTGAAAGAAAATCACGAATAAATAAATAAATCTTATATAATCAGCATAAAATCCATACATTCTGTTTCTAACGAAACTGTAGCAATTAAAAGTTATCGCCTACTCACCAACAGCAGACAAAAAAGTTTCGTCAGCGATGAGCACAGTGATTACAAGAGCGGTCGAAAAAGCTCGATTGCTTCGAAAGAAACCCAGGCAAGAACTCCACGAAATGGACGAAGGCATGATTAATTTGTACAGTATGATTCAACTATCAAACTCCTAGATTTGTAGCGTTTGAAAGGAGCAGTTTGTGTGAACAACGTAACTCCACGAGTACGTAACCGAGTTGATCAGGACGCGGCACATAGCCAATCAATTAAATTGTATTTTCGTGCGGTACAACCAAGGAGTTTTAAGAGCTAGAGTCCCAACTGGCAACATTATCATGCCAAGCAGCTGCCGTTTTCTAAGGTTGCACAATAGAATCTACAGGTGTGTTGAACCTTTGATGCCCGAGTTTCGAAGCCGCCAATAACATTGGAAAGCTTGAGTAGTGATTTTGTTCACAAATGAATATCGTTCATATTTCACTTTTTTTTTTTAACTAACAAGGGGAAAATCGAACAGATGATAAAATGTGAATACGAAAGCCTAATTGTGTCAAGAAATTTGCTTATATTGTATGAAAGCAGTTTTAATTTGTGAAAAAATAGTAAAATGTTACAACTTAGTCCTAAAACCTGCAATTTGACACTTTTCCGGCTCACAAAATTTAAAAGTGAGTTTGTTCATGTACAGTTCTAGATGATGTTATATGTCAGATTAGTGCCCACACATGCCCAGTCGAGTAATTTTGATTAATGTTTCAGGAAATTTTGCACCATTTTCGTACGCTTGCCTCCTGTAAAGGTAAGCGCTGTGTGTATTGCTTGTATTAGGGACTTTTAGATTTGCACAACGAAAACGTGGAATGCAATGTGACGTCCCTTTAAGGCACTACCGGCACTGCCAGTGCCTTTAAAGGACGTCACATTGCCTTAAAAGGATGTCACATGCAGGCGCGTACGCAGGGGGGGGGGGGTGTTTGGGGGGTTAACCCCCCCCCCTTTGGTATTTTTATGTGTGTAAACCCCCCTAAAAAATCCCTAAACCCCCCCTTTGTTTGTTTTTTTTTAAAATTATTAAATTGACTTTACACACTGGACTTATGCTGAAAGGGAGGGGGGGGGGTGCTGGAAACACGCATATGCGTACCCTAAATAACACTTAAGTGGGGGCCGGGGCGGGGGCCAGAGCCAAACGCAAGATGAATCAAGCTCCTCGAAGGAAAATAGCTTCCCGCAACCAGATAAGTCCTTATCCATCAGATCGTCAACCAGTATCTCAACTCATTAAGGTCTACTGGTATTACATCAATTACATTCTCTGATACAAGTATCCTAATGTATAAGGCATGAGTATCATTTCAGACTTTTAAGAGGCAATAAGGTTGGACACCAATATTTCTCTCTCCATATCCAGTGTCGTCTCAAATGCAATATATGACTGTTCTTTATTCCTTAGATTTTCTCACGAGCTATATACCACTAAACAAAATTATGTATATAAACAATTTGATACAGATGCTCATTTCTTTATCCAAGGAATTCGTGACATTTGAGCTGAACACAATTTCTCTAGTTTCCCTTCTTTCTTGTATTCCCACCCTCCCTGGCTTTCTTATAATCTATTAATCAGAATCTGTCTTCAGTATACTTTTCCTTTGCCCCATTCTCATTCCTCGTATTTTCTTGTCGACCCGTTTCATTTTTCAGGCTGGATCTTTCTTTTTTTCCAATCCCTGCCTCCTTCTCATTCACTCATTCATTATTCTCTTGCACCCCCGTCACTCGTTCTTGCTCTCAATTATTTTATCTTTTCCAGCAGCCTTCAGGAAAGCTCCTTGAAGTGTGGGAGCCCCGAATTTGCCAAAAAATTGATAGCAAGATTTCACTTCAATTGTACCACAATGCGAAAGAGGATGTCATTTAAGACACACTTCTGCAACCGCCCCCTCCCCCTAGATATGTGTCTGAATACGTATATTGATTTTTAAAAGAATACATAATTTGGGTTTTCAGTTGTATGCAGAAAACCTAAATTTGTATTCTATTCGACTTCAAACACAATTGTTTTGAAAATCCTTGCAGAAATGTGTCTTAAATGACATCTCTTTCAAATTATGATACAATTTTGGTAAAATGTTGCCAAAATTTTAGAGGGGCTTTAACATAATGGAGAAGAGAGTAAAGGAAGTGAATTTCAGTTGTATGCAGAAAATCTAAATTTGTATTTTTACATCAATATTGGACTTCAAACACATTCGTTTTGAAAATCCTTGCAGAAATGTGTCTTAAATGACATCCTCTTTCACATTATGATACAATTTAAGTGAAATGTTGCCAACATTTTAGAGGGGCTTTAACATAATGGTTCCACATACAATGAACATTCTTTCTCTTTATTTTTATTCAAATATTTCTTCTTTTAACTCTTTCATTCTTTCTTCCATCAATCTTCTTCTAGTCTCTCTTCTTCCTACTAATTTACTCTCCTCTTCCACTCTCTCTCCTCTTTCAATCTCTCCTCTTCCACTCTCTCCTCTTTCAATCTCTCCTCTTCCACTCTCTCCTCTTTCAATCTCTCCTCTTCCACTCTCTCTCCTCTTTCAATCTCTCCTCTTCCACTCTCTCCTCTTTCAATCTCTCCTCTTCCACTCTCTCCTCTTTCAATCTCTCCTCTTCCACTCTCTCTCCTCTTTCAATCTCTCCTCTTCCACTCTCTCCTCTTCCACTCTCTCCTCTTCCACTCTCTCCTCTTTCAATCTCTCCTCTTCCACTCTCTCCTCTTTCAATCTCTCCTCTTCCACTCTCTCTCCTCTTTCAATCTCTCCTCTTCCACTCTCTCCTCTTTCAATCTCTCCTCTTCCACTCTCTCCTCTTTCAATCTCTCCTCTTCCACTCTCTCCTCTTTCAATCTCTCCTCTTCCACTCTCTCCTCTTTCAATCTCTCCTCTTCCACTCTCTCTCCTCTTTCAATCTCTCCTCTTCCACTCTCTCCTCTTTCAATCTCTCCTCTTCCACTCTCTCTCCTCTTTCAATCTCTCCTCTTCCACTCTCTCCTCTTTCAATCTCTCCTCTTCCACTCTCTCCTCTTTCAATCTCTCCTCTTCCACTCTCTCCTCTTTCAATCTCTCCTCTTCCACTCTCTCTCCTCTTTCAATCTCTCCTCTTCCACTCTCTCCTCTTTCAATCTCTCCTCTTCCACTCTCTCCTCTTTCAATCTCTCCTCTTCCACTCTCTCCTCTTTCAATCTCTCCTCTTCCACTCTCTCCTCTTTCAATCTCTCCTCTTCCACTCTCTCCTCTTTCAATCTCTCCTCTTCCACTCTCTCTCCTCTTTCAATCTCTCCTCTTTCAATCTCTTCTCTTCCACTCTCTCCTCTTTCACTCTCTCCTCTTTCAATCTCTCCTCTTTCAATCTCTCCTCTTCCACTCTCTCCTCTTTCAATCTCTCCTCTTCCACTCTCTCCTCTTTCAATCTCTCCTCTTCCACTCTCTCTCCTCTTTCAATCTCTTCTCTTCCACTCTCTCCTCTTTCACTCTCTCCTCTTTCAATCTCTCCTCTTTCAATCTCTCCTCTTCCACTCTCTCCTCTTTCAATCTCTCCTCTTTCAATCTCTCCTCTTTCAATCTCTCCTCTTTCAATCTCTCCTCTTCCACACATTTTTTCCTCCATATTAAAAAACAAACCCCCAAATCATTAGAAAAATGACACAAAATATACCAATGTGACTGTATACTATTCATTTTTACTATCATAAAGTTGATCATTTCTAAAGCACATACACATTCACAATATATATATATGCAAAAATATGGAATAAATAGGCATATATCCATTGATTCCATTCCATTCTTTGCACATTGTGTTTGAGAATAGAAATCATTTGTATATCTCATCAACGTCATGAATTATACAATCATCTCAGTGTTGATGAAGAGCTTCAAGTCATTTGGATCCTATCTTGTAAACTTGTTTTGTGTGATTGTAAACTTGTTTTGTGTGATAGTAAACAAATATACCATGCACTGAGAGCCTCTAGTTGAAATTATGGATCGAGGTGGCAAGAAAAGCACTATTTTTTTGAGGGGCGCAGTCCCGAAGTAAATAGTGCTATTTCTGTCGCCGAGGAATCCATAACTTCACTAGTGGCTTAAAAAAGTGCATGATATATTTGTTTTATATTTTTCAAACGAACCTTCATAAAAGTAATAATAATAATAATGTTTACTGTCACTGAAGTAGTGTTGAGTGCAGTGAGAGCAGCGCAGACCGCAACCGATAGCACATTGATCTTGATCGATTGCATACATATGACGTCATCCACAGTATAGTGCACTATACCATGGATGACGTCACAGTTACATCATAGCAATGTTATGCTTGGTCACATGATGTTATGTTGACCAATCACTGAACAGGATTTCATTGATCAAAAATATAATGTCCAATATAGCCAATACATGTAGATGGTAAAAATGATATTCAAGAGTAGACTATTAATGACACATAAAGCATTAGGTAAAATAGTATTTGGTTTATGTTCAGCACATACCACATTAAAGTGTAACCTTTCAATGTACATACACTTCAAAATAGCCTCAGAAAAAACAAATTTTACCTTGTATACAAAAGTTATCATTGCACAGTGCATTCAAGGAACGAATCCTACCAAGGTCCATTTACCTCATGTGGGTTAGGTGTGGCACATGTGGGATAGGTGTGGCACATGAGGGATAGGTGTGGCACATGTGGGATAGGTGTGGCACATGTGGGTTAGGTGTGGCACATGTAGATTACAGTGTACCAGTCGCTAAACATACTTTCGAGGGGTCAGTGACACAAAGACGTAAATCCATTTTGGGAAAAAGTGGTTCATGTGTCACTGAGCACTTGGTCTTTAAGTCTATGTTTCACTAGCCATTGACTTCAATGGGGTGTTGGGTGGAGTTACATGTAAGTCTTTGTGTTTCCTAGAAAGCCCACATTTTTCGGATCATTTTGATATCAAATACTCATTTGGGCAAAATATGGAGTTACGTCTTTGTGTCACTGAACCTTTGTTCTGTATGTTACAGGTCCTATGTCACTCTATCATATTCAAAATACGAGCTTCACATATTACTTCTATTAAGAGATGTTGCAAGTTTTAATATAATTAAAAGTTTAATACAAATTGTCTGATGTTCCCTGGTGCTCACTCAACCTGTTCTCTATCTTGTATTTGGCTCCTAGTCTCTATCTATATCATTTATACATTGCAAATG